TGGAGTGTTTACTGTGTGAAGGTCCTTGAGACGACTCTGGTCCAGATTTGGAGCTTTAGAAATAAACTGAATTTAATTTAATTCAAAGGTGTTGATGATGATGATGATGATGACGATGGTGATCAAAATCATGTAAAGTTTGTGCAGAGTCTCAAGATGAAGAACATGTGGCTCCAGAGGATCCACAATCTTTTTTGGGACAGTGGGAGGACCCAGAGGAAGATCAGACCCACCCCTCTGTTGCTTCCTCCCAATCAGAGCCAACCAGGAAGAAAATCAGCTTTGCTCAGCTAGTTAAAGAAGGCAGACGGTTCAACATCGACCTTGTTTCCAAGGTAAAGTCATCTGTGTCACTACATCATAAAATCCCATGCTTTCTACTGACAGGTGTTAAAAATGACTAAAATAAAATGCAGTCCTGTAACATCAGTTACAAGACAACTGAAGCTACAGTGATGTTCTGCTGAGCTGTGGTGGCCTCATGGAGGGGGCCATCGTCTAGCACACTGCTGCTAACCACTTAAACATTCTCTCTCTCCTGATTATAACTTTTTACTCTCTTTGACATTGAGTGTGCTACTACTAGTTTACCCGTTTAATTATAGATTCACTAGGATAAATACAATAAAGTTTATCTCTCACCAAATAGAATATTTACTAAGACATCACAATATAACCTTAGACACACTATTTGGTATTAGGGCTGCAACTAATGACTATTTTAATAGTCGACTAGTCACTGACAATTGAAACAATTAGTCGACTAATCGGATAAGTTTTCTTGAATTTAGCATGAGATTGCTTTTATTATGTGAAAAATGAGAACACAAGAAAGATGGGTAATTCAATGGAAAATGCATATTTTATAGAACTTTGCTGCTTATAGGCCAATTCATACTAAGAGTAAATAAAACTACCCTAACACCAATTAGGCCCAGTGCCCAGTCAGTACAGACATAAAAGCAAAAATAAAATAAAAATACTTTTGTCAGGCACAGTCGAGCATAACATTAAATCTCTGTTTTAAAAGCGAAAATACGTCTAAAAAATGTACATCCAAAACAAAATGTGTTGGCTTTCGTGTTATTTTAATCTTACACAGGTGAGTCAGACTCTGTTTCATTCAACTGTCCCACGTGCTGTCTCTTTAAGTGTTCATGCATCATCGAGGTGCTGCCGTGATTCACAAGGACTGCTTTACAAATACTGCAGGTCATCTTTTTATTCGCCGAACCCAGGATAGAATGCTCCCAAACGTTAGATGTTTTAGTACGTGTAGCTGCAGTGTTGGACGCCGCCATTTCTGTTAATTGGCGCTCAGCAGAGAAGCTATTGCGCTTGTGCCACTCTCGGCAGAGATTGTAATGACGTGAGATGCCTCACTTGGCCGGAAAAAACACGTCTGGTGACAACGTCGACAATGACAGTCATTGTCGACTATTTCTATTGTCGATATTTGCAGCCCTACTTGTGTGTGTGTGTGTGTGTGTGTGTGTGTGTGTGTGTGTGTGTGTGTGAGAGAGAGAGAGACGGCTTCAGTCAGAGAAGATGTTTACTCCACAGTATCTAGAATGATTGTACCTGATCAGTCAGAACGCTGCAGGAACAGCTGTTTTGTGCTCCTCTAATCACATTGATTACTGATCGCAGGTGGAAGCTAGTAACCGTGGTCCGCTAAGGAAATGGTGGTCACCTCACCTGACTGAGCTTGAAAGTGTTGTTTGTGGGCGTGTCCTTTTTAATCTCAGTATTTCTCTTCTAGGTGGTATGGGTTGTATTGGATAAGTGAAGCTGGTAGGAGGTTAGGCCGTAGAGCACGGGTGATTCTTTTCTACACCCATCATGTAAACATCATCATCACAACAACAAAAAACTTCCTCCCATCCATCTCTAAGGGTTTGTTGTGACTGAGCAGCAGGTTTCAGATGAGCTGATGATGTAATCGAATTAAACATGCTGCAATGTTGATGATGTTGAAATCAACTACCCTTCTCTTCTTCAGCTCATGTTCTCTCGTGGTTCACTGGTTGAACTGCTCATCAAATCAAATGTCAGCCGCTATGCAGAGTTCAAGAACGTCACCAGGATACTCACCTACCACCATGGCAACGTAGAACAGGTTTTACTTGTTTACTAATCTGTCTCCATCTCACACCCGACCATTTGGAATATGTTTGCTGTTTAACTTTTAACCTAGCATTACCGCAGGCAGCAGGCTCCATCTTTGTTCGCTGCACTGCATGTCGTACTGGATGGTTCCTCTAGAGGTGCAGTACAGAACTCGGACCGGATAGAGAGCCAGATTTGTGGGTACAACCAAAACAAACATGGCATCTATGGAAGAGCTCCATTTTGAGATCACGGTAGAAAAGAAGACCGCCGCGGTATCATAGACGGGATGAAAGACCTCTAAACCAGAGACGGAGTGACCATGCGTCTCTTCCTACTGGATACTTGTCTGTTGCAGCCTGCAAATGCGTCACGTTAATTTCGGGTGACGTGCACAAACAATGCTTCAAATCAATGCAAGTTACGCAAGGCCGCCATTTTCAACACGTTGGTAAACAGCAAGTATATTCCAGCCATTACCTGTTCATCTCTCACCTGTCCGTCTTACTGGTCCATCCCTCGCTTGTCTACATCTCACCTGTTCAACAGGTGCCCTGCAGCAGAGCTGATGTGTTTGCAAGTCGTCAACTGTCAGTGGTTGAAAAGAGGAAGTTGATGCGTTTCCTGACTTCCTGTATGGAGGAGACAGAGGAGCAGCAAGGTGAGTGTCCACCTATGTTCCAGCTGCTGACATCATCAGAAACAAACAGGTGTTTAGTTTCAGGTACATGAATTATGGGCCATTCCCATCAGTACCGGGTCGGCCCGGGCCGGGTAGCGTAGGTTGTTTACATATCTGGGTGGCCTGGTATTTTTCCGGGCCAACCAAGGCTCATTCTCAGCCCTCTTCTCGAGGGGGTCTGCTTCAGGCCGACCAGGGCCAACACACCCACTGCTGACAGCAAATTCACACCTTCCATTAGAGCAAGCCTCTGATTGGTGGGTAGAATCAGCCCACATGGGCTTAAGGCAAGGATGTGTGGAATCAACCGGGCCAGGCTGGGGCTGACTGGGGCTGCCCGGCCCGGGCCGACCCGGTACAGATGGGAATGGCCCATTAGAAGTCCTCTCTGAGTGGTTGCATCTTGTTTGATCTCTGAGTCTGAAGCCACCCAGTAGGTCTGTGTTACTGAATCATCAAGACGCTTCACCCCAGGTTATTCTGGGTAATAAAGTCTTCTTTCTAGCCTACTACAGTCGACCATATTTGGAATTCCTGCACGACCAGCACCTTGGTGACAACCTGCAGCACTTCCTGCTTCATTCTATTGCCATGGCGTCACCGGACACGCCCACAGGGGAGGGGCTGGCATCCACACGTCACTTCCTACGCTGCCTGGGTCGCTATGGAAACACTCCCTTTCTGTTTCCTGTGTACGGGCTCGGAGAGATCCCCCAGTGTTTCTGCAGGTTGGTCTCTGTTACTAGCTGCAGTTCTGGTAAATGGTGCATGGCTTGTATTTGTACAGCACTGTAAAGGGTTAATTTACATCTAATTAATGACCCATAAGACATGAGATTCCATAATGAATAGGGAGTCAATCTTGTGGACCTTTGGGTATTTAACCAGAAGATTGGAACTTTTTATTGCAGGGATTATGTAACACTTCGTATTAACTGAGAGACAAGAGAAGAGAGAGTCACCTTTAAAACGTTTAAGAAGATTTATTTCTAAACAATTTTAAAGAATTTTAAAGAAGACTAACTCTAAACTCTAAGTGATGAATGGATCTGGTGTGAATGAGACGTGAGATGAATGGTGTGTGTGTGTGAGTGATGTTGTAATCAGAACTCTCGTATCCGGAGAAGCAAGTCTGAATGAAGTTGTGATGGTTTGCTCTTAAGCTAAGATCGAAGATTCATAAACACATGAGACGCCATATTGTCGCTCCACACATACCCTTCAGGATGAGACCTCCGTACAGATCCAGACTGCCTGGTCCTCGAACCCCCCTTTCTGTACAGGAGCTGATGAAACAGCGTCAGCAGTACGACAGACTAGTCTTTGGATTGTCTCCAGGTAAAAAGAGACAGTTGGTTTACAGCGTCAGATGGACCTCCTTGGGGTCAGTGAGTTCAGCTTTTATTCTGAAAGGAACCGTTGCTTGGTTGGTAAAATGCAACAGATTTTATCCAGCTTGTTGGTTCTTTGCTCAAAAAGGAAGTCCGGGTGGCCGGTCCGATACTCCTCTTAGAATGCGGTGAACTGCAGAGAACCAGAGAACTCCAGAGAACTGAACTAAGATGGCGTGGGACTGGTTTTATTAATCTGGATGTTTTGATTTCTGGTCGAATCAAAGTTGGCAGATGTATAAACACCACAGAGACTATGCCACGCTTCAGAAAGGAAGGTTCTGATTGGACCAGTGAAAGCAATGTGTCGTGTGTTTACATTACGTGTCATCAGAAAGTCTAGTGCAGCTAGATTAAAGTCATATTACTTATTAAAGCATACTAATCATAACTGTCATCTCACAGATTGGTCAACATTATATTATTGACTAACACTTTGTTTGATTAGCTTTATTAAAAATAGAGTTCTTTGATTTATTAAAAGGAAAGAGTCCTTAATCTTCATTCTTCTCTTGAGCTGGAGAGCAAGCAGTTTAGAAGCAGATGCATGACCTTGAGGCAGTCTCATGCAGATTCGTTCTGTCAGAGGCATCTGTGTGGAGAGAGGGTAAATAAGCTTCGGTGGAATAGCTCCTCCATCACGTTACAGCACCTTCCTAGGGTTCTACAACCCCCCAAGGCGCTTTGCAACACAATCAGCCATTCACCCATTCACACGCTGGTGGTGTGAATGGGTGATGTAGCCACAGCTGCCCTGGGGCGCACTGACAGAGGCGAGGCTGCCGAGCACAGGCGCCACCAGTCCCTCCGACCACCACCAGCAGGCAGGGAGGGTTAAGTGTCTTGCCCAAGGACACAACAACAGCTTTCTCTGGTTGTAGCCGGGATCGAACCTGCAACCCTCTGATTACTGGTGTAACCAAGTGGCTACAGTCAAACCGGTTAGGCGCCGGCTATCCTAGCGGCCTCTCGTACACTCGATCCTCTGCATTCGACTGTTGACAAGTCCCACCTGTACGTGCACAGCTGCTCGAGTCCGTTCAGTCATTCATACACAGAATATTTGGTCACGCCGCGTCTAACCCACAGATTTTAAATTGAACAACTGAGGTGGAAAGGAAGATGACAGTATGAGTTAGTAGTGTTAATGATTAGCTACTTATTTATTAAATGATCAGTAAGATGTGATGTTCCATATAAATGTGTATGAGTCTGATTGGTCTTTGAAGGTTTAATCAGGAGACGTTAGTTTCTTTGACTATTTAGGTGTAACTTACCCAAAGGCCAGTATTTTCATCAAAATGAACAGAAATGACCTTTTGAGTTGCAGACACAAACACCCCGTCTGTCTGGCCTCCTAACAGGAAGCAAGGCCTCGTCGTCGCATAGAGGAGACATAATAATGCCTACCTACCTTATCTGGCTGAGACCGTCTCCACTTTCACTCTGAATAAGTTCATCTTCCTTGAATCATAAATGACTTTTTAAAAGGTGATAAATGCATAAGTGCCATATAACCGTGTCTTGTTAAATCCCAGAGTGTGAATAATGTGTGCTTTATTCACTGATGTGTTGAAATGAATAATTTTCCTGTAATGATTCATTTCAGATCTTCAACCTACACCAGATCAGTGTTTGTTGATTTCATGTTGATCCATCCAACACATTATATTAAGATCATTATTAAGATTTAACATTTTTGCTTCACATAACTGTTATAACACTCCCTTCACACTGAAGCTTGGTTTATGCTCGACGCATTCACTTTCCGCTTGGTGATGCGGCTCGCGGATGGAACGCGCTTCACAACTCGCAGCGTTTATGGTTCGTGCGGCTCGTGTCTGCGGTGAACCAATATTCTCCCAAACTGTAGGGGGCAGCATGGAGCTCTACGGCATGCATCCAACACTACACCATAGTAGAAGTAAAAATGACTGTTTACAACATGGCATTTCAGCATTTTTAGCAGCGTCCTCGTCTTTTCCGACAGTGCGAGCTATTTCTCTCCAAGAATTATTAACAACATGTTGATCACGGTGATCTCTGAGAGCTTAATCATACAAATGTCTGTATTTACGAACCTCTGCCATGTTTTTCCGCGTCCGTCCCTCCGCGTGGTAAGAAATTTTCCGAGGTGCACGTTGCGGAAATTCTGGGCCGTGCGGAGGTGCGGTGGAGGGGCGCGGTTGTTAAAATGACGCAACTTTTCCGCGCGGAGCCGTGCGGACCTCGCGGACGCGTCAAGCATAAACCAACCTTAACGCCGGGGACACACTGGCCGCGGAAGCGCCGCGAAAATGGGACCGCCTTCATTCGGCGCCCTTCTTAAGCTATTCTGTAGACCACATGGGCCGCCGAAGCGCCGCGAATCGCCTCGCGCCGGTGCGCGCCGGCGCTCCAGCTCGCGCCGTGCAGCGATCATTTCGGTGTCGGCTCTATTTTTTTCGCGAGCCGCGGGTGACTCGCGTCAATTCTGGCAGGAAGTCAAACCTAGACATAAGAGGCAGGCCGGTAAAGTTAACAAAATAAAGCATTTCAAAATAAAATTACGCAATCAAATGTGTTCGTAATCAGACACTGCAGAAAAACCACACGAACACATACACACATCGAACTTGTGTGCGTGTGTGACCGCGTTAAGGGGGGTGTGGTTTTGGGTGTCTTTTCACCGGAGCAAACAGGACAGAGAGGCAGAAAGTCTGAGGCAAGCAGTTAAGATGGATGACTTTAAATGAATTATGGAAGTTGAGAAACACAAGGAGCTGTACGACCCCCGAAAAACATGATTGTTTACGTACCCATTTCGGAAGAAACTGCTAGGATACAGCTGCAGAATTGGAGCGGGTTCCAAGAGATTCAACTGGCAGAAACAACTGGTTCACACACACACACACACACACACACACACGCACGCACGCACGCACGCACACACACACACACACACACACACACACACACACACACACACACACGTAGAGGAATAGAGCTGAGAAAAGGCAGAGAGGAAACGGAGGACACCAAGTGTTTAAAAGAAAAACTACAGCTGAGCCGAGGCGCGTCTGATCTGAACTGAGGAGCGGCGAGCAGCGGCCGAATTTCGTGAGCGATTCGCATCTCGGCGCTTCCGCGGCCGGTGTGTCCCCGGCGTAACAGTTAACCTCTGAGTGAAAGAGTGACTTTCTGAGCCATTTTGGTAACGCCCTCTTAAACGTGTCAAATTCTGATTTGTCTACGTTTATAAACAGTAAAGTTAATAAAAGCTAGAACACTTCCTGGTCTAGCCAGTCTTCGCCGTTCACTCAATAACACCAATCGGGTGAACAAGCATTTTGAGACCATTCATTCTTTTGACCCCAAGGTCCAAGCCTCTCCGCAAAGCTTGCGAGTGATCGCAGACACACTCAACACCTCAGACAGACACCTAACCTGCAGGTCCTGGTTGCACGTCATGGCTGGACTAGAAATGTGAGTTCAAAGGGAACTCTTTGGGTTCCTGTGGTCTCGACGTCCAGTGAACATCACCACTCGGGCCGCTTTCGTCTGGACCGCCGATGGGCAACCGTCACACAAAGGTGTGCAGACTCTGCCCGATTGGGTCAGATGGTTTTAAATGTCTAGATTAGCAAACGCAGCCAATCTGATTTTACAGCCCAGACGCCACAATCTCTCTCAGATACTTAAGAAAAGTTTTGCTAAAACATCTAGCTTCCATTCCATCATTCCATTCATACTTTGTCATGTGTAATAATTTTGTTTAGAAAAGAGAATTAAAGATTTTAGATACTGTGTGCTTGACTGTGTCTGGATTAATATGAAGTGTGTGTATGGTCCCTGAATAGTCAAAGAAACTTAAGTCTTCCTATTAAACATTCAAAGACCAATCAGATTCATATTTCATATTTATCTTACTGATCATTCAATAAATAAGTAGCTGGTTCAGGTAAACCAAAATAAAATACTAATGTTTAAAGTCCAGAGGAGGGAGGAAGGCTTTATAGCAGGGGTATTCAATTCTAGTCCTGGATGGCTGTTATCCAGCACGTTTTAGTTGTTTCCCTGCTCCAACACACTTGAATCAGTGGTTGAATTACCAGTGCAGCAGCTCTGCAGAAGCCTGTTAATTATCTGCTGACTGAAATCAGGTGTGTTGAAACAGAGTTAAAACTAAAACATGCTGGATACCGGCCCTCCAGGCCCAGAAGTAAATACCCCTGCTTTATAGGCGCAGAGAACTCCCGTCATGATCCTGGAGACGGCACGAGGAGATGACATGAGTGTGCCCTCCAGGATCACACCAACACCACCTGACCACACGGAGGCATGTGTAAGAAAGAAAAACTGGTGATGTATGAGTTCTAAACAAAAACTACGAACAAAATCTATTTTACAGTTGTTTAACCTGCTGAGCATCGCCTCCCCAAAGAGCTGCACAAAGGTGCAACTGGCTCAGAACCAGGGTGCTCCGTTATGCAGGTGGTCACCTCCTCCTGCTGACACCCGAGGATTACCTACAACAAAGGGAAAACTGATATCAATAAGGAAATAATTAAATCAGAGCTAAGAGTTTAATTTTAGTGTGACGTTTGAGATTGTGGGAAATAAATGTGGACATGGTTTTTTATTGTGTGGTCAGTACCTTGGGCGTTTCTCTGTAGCAACATTTTGTCTGGCTGACAATGAAGTAGAAAAGTCACCAGTTGATGCAGAGTTAGACTACATTACTCCAGCTAAGCTAAATGTAGCTAAACTAGACACTAGTCAGTTAAAATTGGTCCTCAGTGCTGACAAGCAGGGGCGGATTAAGGACTGAAGAACATCCGGGGCTTAACACACAATTACACACACACACGTGACACGCACTAGTCAACATCATATATATTTGTCTATATAATTTTTAATCTGAAGCTACATATGAAGCATTTTCAGGGCAGAGTATTGTTCCTGTTAGTGTTTAGTGTGAGATGATAGTAAATATTCCCGTTCTTTCTCCAACAACTTTACCTGATAGTAAGCTAACTTTAGGCAAACCAGCAGCACAACAAATATTTTCTAATAAGACTCACAAACCTGAGTCAGCACCAGTCTCATCAAAGCTGGGGTTCTGTCGCCGTACTTTTGGTTTAAAAAACGTCCTTATGTCCATCTTCACTCATGCGTTTCAGGCAGAGAGTGCAGAAGAAGCCGGCTGCTGAAGGGCTTCTTCTTCAGTGGTGGAGGCTCAGGCAGGCTGTATACAAACTACTGCCAGCTGCGCCCTCTCTGTTGGACTTTGGTACTGCATGTTACTTCCACGATTTAGATCCGGGGCTTTCCATAAAACATCCGGGGCTTGAGCCCAAGTAGCCGGGCCTAACGCCGCCCCTGCTGACAAGCCTGAGCTAATGTTGTTTTCTAACACTAAACAAGACTTCTAAGGATGCCCTCAGTGACCACTGTTGAGGGAAACCTGGAGGTGGTCCACCTTGGTGCCTGACTCCGTGACTCCCTCTCCTTCAAGCCCATGTAGATAATCTTATGAAGAAACAAACTCAGACTGGGCTTCTTTTTCTAAATAAACAGTTTTTCTTTGAGGCAACAAAACGACTAGTTACTGCAACATTTCTGTCTATTCTGGATTATGGAGACCTTTTGTACATGAATGCCTCAGCACAGTGTCTTGGTAAGACTGATGTGGTCGTCATGCCTAGCTGAGGTGTATTACTAACTGTAGACCACTGACCCATCATGGTGAGTTTTGTTCTCCAGTGGGACGACCTTCTTTATCCACCAGGAGGTTGGGACGTTGGTACACCTTCATTTAAGAGGCCATGCTTGGATTACTACTTGGGCTGTGTGGCGGTGCCGTTGTTAGCACTGTTGACTCGCAGCAAGAAGGTTGCAGGTTCGAAACTCGGCTGTGGCCTTTCTGCGTGGAGTTGCGTGTTCTCCCCGTGCATGCTTGGGTTTCCTCTGAGTACTCTGGTTTACCCCACTGATCACAACATGCCCTATAGGTTAACTGTTGTACACCGCTTTGGATGAAAGCGTCTGCCACATAAATAAAAACTTAATCCCACGGAGAAGTGTAACTTCTCACAGTCTGCGTACAGCAATCAGCTGTTACTCTGTGTTCTGTTTGCTCGCACTGCACTGGGCTACAGGGCTTTGTTCACTACTCCTCCTGCATGGAGCAGGCTGCAGGATCACTGGACATTAACCCAGTTTATCTCCTTGACTACATTTAAAACCAGACTGAGAACCCTTGAGACGGATTCCCTGTCTTGTAACTGCCTTCTGTAATCTAGTACATAACATGTCGGTGTAACTGTAACTCTTGCTGCCTCTTGGCCAGGAATCCCTTGAAAATGAGGTTTTTAATCTCAAATGGACCTTCCTGGTTAAATAAAGAATGAATATTAAAAAAATAATAATAATTAGGGAGTGTCACTGGAAGCTAGCTGCTTTACGTAGGATGATGCAGAGTGTACAGGTGTGTATGTCACCTCTCCATCTTCCCTCCAGCCTACGCTGACTCGTTGCTGGTTTGTTTGTTGTTACAGGATGAGTGCTGTGTTTGGGGGGGTCTACTGTCTGAGACACTCTGTCCAATGTCTGATCGTAGACAAAGACACCAACAGGTACGATGTCATTCTTTAGTGAGGAAGTTTTCCATCAATGGCTGTTTCTAACCTCCACTATGAAAAGCTGCTCTACCCTTTGTGCCTTCAGGTCTGTGCCTTCTCACATTCAAGTGTGCCTCTAAACAAAAGTCCAGCTACTGATTAGAAACTCTTTCGACATCATTTTTCTGTATTTAAAGCCTTCAAATCAGATCTTAAGGGTTCGTCCAGGATCAAGGTGTCAGGAGTTAAAGTCTGCGACAGGTGTTTAAAGTCAGTTACAGGTGTGTAGAGTCTGCAAAGGAAAGCAGGTGGTATAGGCAGCCTAAGTCACGCCCACCTACTTCCGGATCACGGGTCCCCGGAAGAAAGAAAAAAATCAATGCAAGTAAACGGGACTAAAAACTCTATTTTCTAATTCCACTTGTTTTGTGCCATGGATTTCACACATGATGTCCACGAATTTTAAAGACAAATTTTGATACCAAGAATGCGCTTATTTTCAAACGGGGGGAAACGTTATTTTAGGTTTCTTGTGAAAATACGTCCAGGACTACAAACGTGCATCTCGAAAGTGACGTAATCAAACCAGACACGGAGAAAGCTGAGGGAAAAGGGCTGTATGTTCAGCAAACTTCCCACAGGAGGAAAGAACACCCATAAATCTGGTCATGTGGTAAGCAGCAGCTACGCTGGGGGGAGGAGCTTATATGGTGACGTCACATATGCGACGTGCCGATTTCTGGTGTGTAGTCATGCTAATTACGAACTTTTACAAGCTGATAAACCTCAAAGAACATGACTGGCATGGTCAAAACACCCATCGTTAGTTTTCATTTAAATGGCAGCACAACATGCGTGATCCAGGGCGTAAGGCAAAGCGGGTTCGAAAATAGCGTTTTTAGCCCCGTTGGCTTGCTTGAATTTTTTCGTTCTTCCGGGGACCCGTGAACCGACCGGGAAGGGAGGAGACTTAGGCTCCCTACGGTGAAAGACAACAATCTTAGTACAACTATAAAATCGATATAGCGGTATAGGTACAGTATCATATCTGTTTCTAAATACATCCTGATATGAAGATAACATCACCCAGCCCTAGTTGTAATAACTTGACCTGTACTGCAGTCCTGGAAAGGTCCCGGAAAATCATGTCAAAAAGAGTGGGAACCCCGAGCATGTGACAGGTGGGGTTGAGTCTGTCCGGGTGTCGGTCTCACCGGACCGCCACACTTCCCTGGGTTCTCCACTCATCACACACTCACGTATTCAGCACCAGAACACCACTGGTGTGAGAGGTTCTCCGACCCGATGTTCTTCTGTTTTCAGATGTAAGGCTGTGGTTGACAGTCGAGGACAGAGAATTAACTGCAGTCATTTTGTGATGGAGGACGGGTACTTGGTTGGAGACAGAAAGAAGATGGACACGTCCCTCAGGTTACAGCTTGACAATCATGAATGTGGCCCCGCCCCCAGAGGAGGTGTTGCCACTGATGAAGAGAACAGAAGATGAATGTTAATGTTTGTGTCCAGGTTCCTGAGCAGAGCAGTTCTTATCACTGACGCATCGGTTCTGCCCGGAGAGTCGGACCAGCAGGTAAATCCACCTGAGTCAGATTGAGGTGTGGTGTGTACTCTGAGTTAGCCCCATTATGCTGCAGCTTTACCTGCGGTAGCAAGAAGAGACCGGTTTCAGCTGATAAAGCTAATGACCAGCTGAACAGGTAGACCTTAGTTCAATTCAGTTTATTTCTAAAGCGCCACATCAGGACCAGAGTCGTCTCAAGGACCTTCATGCAGTAAACAATACAGGTCTGGGGTCTCATTTATCAAACATGGCGTAGAATCCTTACTAAAACCGTACTTAAGCTCAGCAAAAAAAAAAAAGAACGTACGCCAAGTAGGTTTGTGATCTATCCAACATGGAGTACGCACAGCTGCACACAATCTCCGCTTCATAAATCAGAAACTATCTAGAATGTTTCTCAGCTGCATTTCAGTCACATCCCGCCCTCACCACGCCCACTTACTGCCATATATAGTCAATGCAATTGCCTTGTGGATATCATGCTTATACATAAGCCGGCTGTTGCAGCATTTCAATCACAACCGCAGATCAAGGACGCGCTATTTCACGAGCAGAAATTGAGGTACCTGAGGGTGAGGTGGAGAAATGAAAGGAAGTGCTTTTGCAAAACAAATAAGAGAAAATCCACGGAGTGGCGCAGCGTTGCTGAAGCCGTCAATGCTGAGTTCTTCAGAGAGATCTGTGGCGGATATAAAAAAGTGATCTGATCAGGATTCGATCCCCAGACTCCCAGGTGAAAGTCATGTGCGCTAACCAGTCACCCAAACGGACATCTCCCTTGTCCAAGTAGCCAGGGCGCGTGATCAATCGGGTCTCAGTGACAGGACACACACTGTCACAGACGCATGGCATTCTGTCTCAATCTGTCCCCCTGCTGATTTTCTGCATTCCGTATTCTGTGCTTCAGGCTGTGTGTGTGTGTGTGCACGTGTGTGGGGTCTTGTTCTGTGTGAAAAACCAAGCAGTACATGTGATAATGCTGCAGGATTACATAATTGTATCTTCTCAGCAGCAGTACTGCAGGTGCTCTCCATGTCCAAAATGTGCGTAAGCCAGGTCCTTAGTCAACTTATAGTTGTGCACATTTTTCCGCTAAGTTTTCTTTCATAAATCCCAAAGTTTGTGTGGAAAGTTGCTTACGCAGTTTTCCGACTCCGTTTTATGCGTAAGCAAGCTTGATAAATGAGGCCCCAGTTCATTAAGCCAATCAGTAACAAGTTTCCTGTATAAGGAACCCAGCAGGTTGCAGGTTACTAAGCAAGCATGCAGCGACAGTGGAGAGGAAAACTCCTTTTTACAGGAAGAAACCTTCAGAAGATCAGAATATAGTGAGCGTTAGCAAAGAATTCAGACACCACTCCTTCTCTTCTTAGAGAGGTTATATTTCTTAATGAGAAGTAAAATGTCAAGCATTTCTGTAAAGTGAATATATTAACCATTAATAACATGATAATATTAATATGTGAATATTCTGATAGATTAATGTTATTTAATTCAACAAATAGACTAATCTGGTGTAATTTAAGATCTGGATTATTAGAATCTTAACCTATCATTACTGTAGAGCATTCACAAATATTCAAACACTTTAGATTTAAAAGCATATTGTAGGTACCACAGCATATGATCATAACAGCTTGAAGAGATCAAGTCGTTTTATGAGCCAGAAAAGATGACTTTATTAAAATAACAGATAAGAAGTCTTGTCTTCTGCAGCGTCCTGATGTCTTGTGATATAACACAGGATAATTTATGGATATTGGGTCATGATCATAGATTCCATATCGACACTTTGGTGTCAGATTGACCATTTAAGTATGGCCTGTAAGTTAGAAGGTTAATTTCTAGTCATTTTGATGAAATACACGGCCTTTTGTTACAATACAAGGATACAAACTTCACAACACTCTCACGGTGTAAAAGTTCAGCACATATGTTTGGTTACATTTTTGCATCTGCGCCTACAGTGTGAGGGAAAGGGGCAATGCAATGCTGCCTTCAGGGTATCTCTAGGCTCCTCAGTAGCAGCGACAGACAGCTGGTTTGACCGGCTCTGAGAGGCGCTAATCAGCATTTGCAGATCACATTTTTTAACGGACGTAGGCTGCAGATTCTTCTTCCAGTCGGCGGACTGGGCATCGAAGCTAGGAATCGAAACTTAAAACTTTGAACGATTCCAGGAAATACGGACAGTCAGTTAGTGCTAAACTAACTAGCATCAGAAGCAAACATGTTTCAAGCCAAGTACTAGAATGCCTAATGAGTTTGATGGCCACTCGATAAATACATTTGAAAGGCAAAATCAACTTTGCATGTCCTTTCTTCTAAAGATGAGACTTTATTTCAACATAAGGCTACCTGGAGCACAGCACTGTTAAGTGGGCTGGCTTAAGGTGTGTTGGGGTCCTTCGGGTCCTTTCTTCAGTTTAGTAGTGGCGGCAGTTGGCCACAGAGGTGCCTGATTTTTTTTTTTATTATCAGCTTTTAAAAATAATTTCGGCCGATATAGAAAAAATTGAATATATTGGCTGTCCGATATATCCGTCGGCCTCAAATACCAAGTAGTGTTTCTATGTCTACATTGTGATTTCTTAGTGGATATTCTATTTTATGAGAAATTAACTTACTTTTTCTTTATCTTAGTGATTCTATAATTAATTCGACAGGTGAACTAGTAGTAGCCCATTCCAAGTCAAAGAGAGTAAAATGTTGGTCCAAAGATGAGAACTTCAGTCTTGTCATGATTTAAAAGCAGAAAGTTTAGAGTCAACCAATTTTTTATGTCTTCGAGACAAGCCTGTAATCTAAATAATCGATTAGGTTCATCAGGGTTGATGGATAGATATAACTGAGTATCATCAGCATAACAGTGGAAGTTTATCCCATGCTTTCTAATGATTTTACCAATCGGAAGCATATATATAGTAAAAGAATTGGTCCAAGCACTGAACCCTGTGGTACTCCACAAGTAACCCTAGAGTATGAAGATCTGCCATGTACATTTACAAAATGAAATCTATCCGACAGGTAGGATTTAAACCAGCCTAGCGCTGTTCGTTTGTTCCTTACAACATGTTCAAGTGCTCCTCCTTGAACTGTCACCTTATCGTGGTGGAGGAGTTTGAGTGCCCTAATGATCCTAGGAGCTATGTTTTCTGGGGCACTTTGTGCCCCTGGTAGGGTCTCCCATGACAAATTGGTCTTAGGTGAAGGGTGAGACATAGAACGGTTCAGAGGATCTGTCATGAATATGCAAACAAAGAGTCTGAGTACCCGGCCCGGAGGGTTACCTGGGTCCCACCCTGGAGCCAGGCCTGGGGTTGTGGGCCGTGAGCGAGCGCCTGGTGGCTGGGCTTTCGCCCATGGGGCCCGGCCGGGCCCAGCCCGAACCGGATACATGGGCTCATCCAACTGTGGACCCACCACCCGCAGGAGGAACATGAAGGGTCCGTTTCAGTGTGGACCGGGTGGCAGACCGAGGCGGAAGCCTTGGCGGTCCGATCCCCGGACAACAAAACTGGTTTTTGGGACATGGAACGTCACCTCGCTGGCGGGGAAGGAGCAGGAGCTGGTGGCAGAGGTTGAGAGGTACCGATTAGATATAGTCTGACTCACCTCGACACATAGCATTGGCTCTTGAACCCAAGTCCTTGAGAGGGGTTGGACACTCTCCTTTACTGGAGTTGCTCCGGGTGAGAGGCGGAGGGCTGGGGTTGGCTTTTTGTTAGCCCCAAGACGCTCTGCCTGTGTGTTGGGGATAGCTTCGCTGCGCCTTCGAGTCGGCGAACGGGTCCTGACTGTTTGTGTTTATGGGCCAAATATCAGTTCAGAGTACCCACCCTTTTTGGAGTCCCTGGGACGAGTGCTAGATAGTGCTCCATCAGGGGACTCCATTGTCCTGCTGGGGGACTTCAATGCTCACGTGGGCAATGACAGCATGACCTGGAGGGGTGTGATTGGGAGGAACAGCCCGCCTGATCTGAACTCGAGTGGTGTTTCGTTACTGGACTTCTGTGCAAGCCACAGTTTGGCCATAACAAACACCATGTTCGAACATAAGGATTCCCATCGGTACACTTGGTACCAGGGCAGCCTAGGTCGCAGGTCGATGATAGACTTCGTAGTCGTATCATCTGACCTGCGACCGTATGTTTTGGACACCCGAGTGAAGAGAGGAGTGGAGCTGTCAACTGATCACCACCTGGTGGTGAGTTGGATCAGATGGCAGGAGAAGATGCCGCATAGACCTGACAGACCCAAATGCGTAATGAGGGTCTACTGGGAATGCCTGGCAGAAGAACCTGTCAAGACGGTCTTCAACTCCCACCTCCGGCAGAGCTTTGACCGCGTTAGAGCAGTGGGGGACATTGACTCTGAGTGGGCCTTGTTCCACTCTGCGATTGTTGAGGCGGCTGTTGCTAGCTGTGGTCGCATGGTGGCCGGTGCCAGTCGTGGTGGCAACCCCCGTACCCGCTAGTGGACACCAGAGGTTCAGGGAGCCGTCAGGCTGAAGAAGGAGGCCTACAGGGCGTGGCTGGTCTGTGGGTCCCCGGAGGCAGCAGACAGGTACCGGATAGCCAAGCGGGGTGCAGCAGTGGCAGTTGCCGAGGTAAAATCTCGATCGGCTCCAAAGAGGTTCTGGTAAACTGTCTGGCGCCTCAGGAGAGGAAGGCAGCAACTCGCTCACACTGTTTACAGTGGGGATGGGGAGCTGCTGACGTCAACTGGGGCTATAGTTGGACGGTGGAAGGAATACTTTGAGGAGCTCCTCAATCCCACCTACGCGCATTCCGAGGAGGAACCAGAGCTGGGAGACCTGGGGATGGACTGTCCAATCTCGGGGCAGAAGTTGCTGAGGTAGTCAAACAACTACACAGCGGCGGAGCCCCGGGGACGGATGAGATTCGTCCTGGGTATCTCGAGGCTATGGATGTTCTAGGGCTGTTGTGGTTGACACATCTCTGCAACATTGCGTGGTCATCGGGGCAGTTCCTGTGGAGTGGCAGACCGGGGTGGTGGTCCCCATCTTTAAGAAGGGTGACCTGAGGGTGTGTTCCATCTATAGGGGGATCACACTCCTCAGCCTCCCTGGAAAGGTCTACTCCAAGGCACTCGAGGAGGGTCTGATTGATAGTCGAATCTCAGATTGAGGAGGAGCAATGTGGTTTTCTTCCTGACCGTGGAACTGTGGACCAGCTCTATACCCTTGCAAGGGTGATGGAGGTGACATGGGAGTTTGCACAACCAATCCACATGTGTTTTGTGGATTTGGAGAAGGCTTATGGCCGTGTCCCCAGGGGCACCCTGTGGGGGACGCTCCAGGAGTATGGGGTGGGTGGCTTTCTGTTAAGGGCCATTCAGTCCCTTTACCAGAGGAGCGCGAGTTTGGTCCGCATAGCCGGTAGTGAGTCGAACCTGTTCCCGGTGAGGGTTGGACTCCACCAGGGCTGCCCTTTGTCACCGGTTCTGTTCATTACCTTTATGGACAGAATTTCTAGGCGCAGCCGTGGTGTGGAGTGTGTCGAGTTTGGTGGCAGGAGAATGTCATCTCTACTTTTTGCAGATGATGTGGACCTCCTGGCTTCATCCAGCTCTGACCTTCAACTCTTGCTGGGTAGGTTCGCGGCTGAGTGTGAAGCGGCTGGGATGAGGATCAGCACCTCCAAATCTGAGACCATGGTTCTCGATTGGAAAAGGGTGGCGTGCCAACTCCGGGTCGGGAGAGAGGTCCTTCCTCAAGTGGAGGAGTTTAAGTATCTCGGGGTCTTGTTCACGAGTGAGGGTAGGAGCGATCGAGAGATCGACAGGTGGATTGATTCAGCGTCTGCAGTGATGCGGACACTGAGCCGATCTGTCGTGGTGAAGAGGGAGCTGAGCCAGAAAGCCAGGCTCTCGATTTACCGGTCGATCCACGTTCAAATCCTCACCTATACTCATGAGCTTTGGGTAATGACCGAAAGAACGAGGTCACGGATACAAGCGGCCGAAATGAGTTTCCTCCTTAGGGTGGCCGGGCTCAGCCTTAGAGATTGGGTGAGGAGCTCGGACATTCGGGAGGGACTCGGAGTAGAACCGCTGCTCCTCCGGATCGAAAGGAGTCAGCTGAGGTGGTTTGGGCATCTGGTCAGGATGCCTCCTGGACGCCTCCCTGGGGAGGTGTTTCGGGCATGTCCTGCTGGCAGGAGGCCCCCGGGTCAACCCAGGACACGTTGGAGAGGTTATATCTCCAATCTGGTCCGGGAACGCCTTGGTGGAGGTGGCCGGGGAGAGGACGGTCTGGAGCTCCCTAGTTGGGATGCTGCCCCCGTGACCCGGATAAGCGGAGGAAGACGACGACGATGTTCAAGCCTTTCTAAAAGATCATTGTGATCTACTGTGTCAAAGGCAGCACTGAGATCTAACAAGACTAGAACAGACAGAAGATTCTTATCTGAGGCCATGAGAATATCATTTGTAACTCTCACTAACGCAGTTTTAGTGCTGTGATACTCTCTAAAACCAGACTGAAATTCCTCAAACAGATCATTAGTGTTTAAATGCTCACATACTTGGATGGCCACTGTTTTCTCAGTTTGGATAAAAATGGAAGGTTAGATATTGGTCTATAATTCATTGGGTCATCTGGATCCAGAGAAGGCTTCTTAAGTAAAGGTTTGATTTCAGCAACCTTAAAATCCTGTGGTATGTATCCATCTACTAAGGATAGATTCATTATATCTAGAATGGGGGCAGTAACCAAAGGAAATGCATCTTTAAATAATTTGGTTGGGATTGGATCTAAAATGCAAGTTGAAGGTTTAGATGAAGCTAATATTTTTGATAACTGAAAGCTCAACTGGATCAAAACGGTTCAAGCACAGATGACGTTCTACAGTTACCTCTGATGCTGCCTCACTTACTGAGGAAAAAGAAATCGCATTAGGGAGGATGCTAAAGATTTTGTTTCTAATAGAATTAATTGTACTTGTAAAAAATCCCATGAAGTCATTGCTGCTGAGGATTAAGGGAATAGATGGCTCAGAGCTATGATTCTGTGTAAGTTTAGCAACTGTACTGAAAAGAAATTTAGGATTATGCTTATTCTCCTCAATTAGTGCTGAAAAATAAGCAGTTCTAGCTTGTTGAAGCTTAGTTTTATAAAGCACAAGTCTATTTTTCCAGGATAAGTAGGACTCCTCCTGTTGTGTAGAGAGCCAATTTTCAAGAGTTTTGTTTTAAAGTTTGTAAACGAAAATTAAACCAGGGAGCTAACTTCCTGTCCCTAATTACCTTCTTTTTTAAAGGGGCAACATCATCTAATGCCACACGTAAAGAAGTAACACTATGAACTAAAGCATCAATTTTTGAAGGGTTAGAAATGAAAATATTGCCCTCTGCTATGTTTCTCTGACATGCTGAGGACAGTAAAGATGGAACAGTTGATTTAAATGATGCAACTGCGTTGTCAGATAGAGACAGACTATAGTGAAATTTACTTTCATGTCTCGAGAACTCAGCTATAAAAAACTCAAAGGTTATCAGAAAGTGGTCCGAGAGGACTGGATTATGTGGAAAGATTGTTATTTCCTCACACTCTATTCCATAAGTCAGCACAAGGTCTAATGCATGACGGCAAGAGTGGGTGGAGCTATGTATTCTTTGGGTAAAACCAATTGAGTCTCAGATATTACTAAAGGCTATATTGAGGCAATCATTTTCAATGTCCATATGAATATTAAAATCCCCCACTACAATGACCTTATCAGTATTTAGCACCAAATCAGAGATCTGATCCAAAAACTCAGAGTAAGGGCCTGGTGGACGATATAAAACTACAAACAAGAGTGGTTTTACAGTTTTGCAATCTGGATTAGGAAAACTAAGAATAAGATGTTCAAACGAACTGTAGTTAATAATTGGTAAGAGATTGGTTAATAGGTCTGAATGAAAAATGGTTGCTACTCCGCCTCCTCGCCCTGTACTTGAAGCAATATGATGATTTAAATAATTCGAAGTAGTCGACTTGTTTAAGCTAACATAGTCCTCTTGCTGCAGCCAGGATTCTGTGAGAGAGCAAAGAGATCTGATTATCACAAATCAAGTCATTAACTAACAAAGTCTTAGAAAAATAGACCTAATGTTTAATAACCCACATTTAATTTTTCTAGTTTTCTGCTCAGTTGAATTTGTTCTAATATTTATGAGATTGCCATGATTTGCTTTATTAAGCCTGATATTTAATCTGTGTGGTTTTGTCCGTGGGCAGGACACTGTCTCTATGGTTTTGATCTTAGCCGGTGAATCGTGTCTCTGTAGGTCTCCATGGTAACGGTTCCTTCAACAGATGGCAGTCCGACAGTGAGAATGGTAGAATTGTGTTCATCCACGATGACCTGCATCCCAGGAACCTGTGAGTTTTACCTGATTACACACCTGTTGGAGCCCCTCCCCCCACCATGTGTAGATCGGCTGTCTCAGTAACCAATCAGATCTGTGACTGATGATCTTTAGCATCATCTGAGTTCCTACTTGATTCTGTAGCTCTCCACTAAATAACAGTAAATAAATGTTCAATTTTTTTTCAGTCACTAGATCCTGTTCCCATAGAAACCACATTTTTATCACCTACTCCCCATGTAGTTTAAGTGCTGAACTTTGACCCCTGACACCTAAGGGTGTGTGGGTGGAATTGTCTGTAGGTACTAATTCAAATTCAATTCAAGTTTATTTATAAAGCGCCAAATCACGACAAGAGTCGTCTCAAGGTACTTCACATAATAAACATTCCAATTCAGGAGAGTTCATTAAGCCAATCAGAAATAAAGTTTCCTATATAAGGAACCCAGCAAATTGCATCAAGTCACTGACTAGTGTCAGAGTCTTTACAGCAATCCTCATACTAAGCAAGCATAAAGCGACAGTAGAGAGGAAAACTCCCTTTTAACAGGAAGAAACCTCCAGAGAATCCTGGCTCAGTGTAAGCAGCCATCCTCCACGACTCACTGGGGATGGAGAAGACAGAGCACACACACACACACACACGCACGCACGCACACACACACACACTCACTAATCCCACCTGGCAACTCGACAAGCATGGTGCGTTGCCATGGAGACTGTCAGCTCATGCAGTGTTTACTCTGCAGATCTAGTTCATCTCACCTGTCAGTCAGTTGGTTCCGCCCATGATGACCTGTCACCAGTAATATCCAGGATGTTCCAGACAACAAAGCCAGATAACCACGGTAAAACACATCAGCTGTTTCTGATCTGTGTAAAAAATGGCTCCATCCCCTCCTTCACAAAACTCTTTCAAAGTAAAAGCCCCAGTCTCCTGTCTGTCCACAGACCAACGTCCCTTTGTCTTCTGGTGTCTTTACTTCAACATGGCTGACGGCACAGCACTTGAAGTCGAAGGTCACGACCTCCCGTCTAACGTGTACGTGTGTTCTGGCCCAGATGGAAACTTGGGATTTGAACGCACCATCGAACTGGTGAGACTCACCTGAGCCTGCAAGGCTCATTCTGTATGTTTATCTGCAGCAGCTGTGGAACTTTGTTCTGGAGGGTTTCTAACCAGCAGCTCATCAGGTAGAGCAAGTTAAGCAAACTGAGGGTTTTTGGTTTAATCCCTGCTCCTTCTTGGGAATTGTGTTGTGTCCTTGGGCAAGACATTTCACCGAGGTTAGCTGTTGGTGGTGGTCGAAGGGGCTGAAGGCACTAGGACAGCTGAATCTGAAGCTTGGTTTATGCTTGACGCTTGCGCTCCTCCCAAGATCTCCCTCCTACCTGTGGCTACAGTGGCTGAGCGCCATAGGGCTGCTCTCGCTGGGGAAACAGGATCCCAGCCCCCCCCCCCCCCCCCCCCTCCCCCCCCCGTTTTTTTGAGGTGTTTTTTTTTTTGCATAGTAAAAGTAAATCTACGCCTGCCGGGAGTAAAGCCTGGTTTATGCTTCTCCGTCAGCTCCGCAAGGGACAGACACGCACGGATTGACGGAAGCGTTTTGCTCTCATGCTTCTCCGTCTCCTGGAGAGTGTTGCAAAGCAATTCCCCGGCAGGACCACAGAGGGCGTAGCGCTGTTCTGTGGTATCCTGTCATGTATCGGTCCAAGATCGTGTGTTTATATTGTGTTTTTTGTGTATATAAGAGACTTTTAACACGGACATATTTGTCTCTCATTCTCCCACCTTTTCATGCGCTCCCCACCTCTAAACCCACGTTTCCTGTCATTTCCGTCCACAAATAAAACGCTTGCTACGCATCTTTTCACTCCTCCAGTCACGGGAGAATTAAACGTTCATATTTTTAGAGTTTTTTCGCGAGGTATTCTTCAAGCTTCTCTGTGTCTGCCGCTTGTCGTCCTCGGCTCTCATTGCAGTGGCGGCGATGTAAACAACAGCGGCGTCCTGACCAATCACAAGCTTGCGTAATCCGTCTCGTTCGACGGATGTTTAAAAAAGTGGGCTCGACTCCGTACGTACTTGCGTGCCTGCCGGAGCCTTACGCAAGGACGGATAATGGCGTTGCGTGTCTCCGCACTGACGCAGACGGAGAAGCATAAATCAGGCTTAACTCTGGTATGCCTTTTTTTCCCCTCCCCCAATTTATCCTTATGTGATCCCCTTTTCATCTAGTTAACGGTAGCGCGACTCTTGTTGCGAATGACCACAGTACCAATTCTTCTGTACTGAAACAATTGCCCCTCGGGGATGATTAAAGTTTTTTGAATTTGAATTTGAATTCACTTTCCGCGCGGTGATGCGGCTCGCGGATGGAACGCGCTTCACAACTCGCAGCGTTTATGGTTCATGCGGCTCGTCTCTGCGGTGAGCCAATATTCTCCCAAACTGTAGGGGGCAGCATGGAGCTCTACAGCATGCATCCAACACTACACCATAGTAGAAGTAGAAATTACTGTTTACAACATGGCATTCCAGCATTTTTAACAGTGTCCTCGTCTTTTCTGACAGTGCGAGCTATTTCTCTCCAAGAATTATTAACAACATGTTGATCACGGTGATCTCTGAGAGCTGAATCATACAAATGTCTGTATTTACCAACCTCTGCCATACTAGTTCTTGCCAGTCCGCCATGTTTTTCCACGTCCGACCGTCCGCGTGGTTAGAAAATTTCCTAGGTACGCGGTGCGGAAAGGTTGGGCCGTGCAGAGGCGCGGTGGAGGCGCGTGGTTGTTAAAATGACGCAACTTTTCCACGCAGACCTCGCGGACGCGTCAAGCATAAACCAAGCTTGATCCAGATGTTTCTGCTTCAACAAACCTGCATCAGTTGCCCAATCACCCATTCAGCATCAACTCTGTTAACTAAAACATGCTGGCCGAAACCTGGTGTATACATCTGTGTGAGCTCCGCTACGGAGGGACGCACACGGACAGGTTTTCACATGTGGACTTCTGTTCAGGCAGCGGAGCGTTGCTAAGCGGTTCTCCGCAGAGGGCATAGCACCGTTCTGTGGTATCCTGTCACAACACTCATGTATCACTAATGTGTTTATATATTTCACAGACTTTATTAAATGTGTCCTTCGTTCTCTTCACACGGTCGCCACCTCTAAACCACGTTTGCTCTGTATTTTGTGCTCCGTCACTCACGGGTAAATAAGTGTTCTTATTTTCGGACTTTTTCCGTGATGTGTTCTTCTATCTGTTCTGGGTCTGCTGCTAAATATCTGTTTACTTTAACCGAGCTACAGCGGTGCTGGTGACGAATATACAGAAAGCGGCGTGCTGACCAATCACAAGCTTGCGGCCTTCGTCTCTCGACAGATGTTTAAAATTTCGAGCATGTCTCCGTCACCCTCTGTAAGCCTGTCGGAGAGCCCGTGCGCCGACGCATAAAACAGGCTTTAGCCCCAGCTACCGCAAACACCCTACCTGCATGTGATGTCACTAAAGTAGGTGGAGCTATATGTCCGCTGTAGTTTCCATGGAGCCTAAGCCACGCCCACCTGAATGGGAGTCTGTTATTTTCTGATCCTGTTTGATATGTGCCATGGATTTAACATCAGTGTTGATTTTACAAGACATTTTAATTTAGCTTGTCTTTTGATTAGAATGAATTTTAGTTTTAGTCACAATTTAATTTGTTCTAATGGTACTCTTAATTTAGTTGACTAAAATATACTCTAGTTTTTCTGATGCAACAGGGTTCAGCATCTAAAGGAAATGTTAACTACACCTAAGAAAGTTTACATTTCACACAACTAACTATGGCATTGAAACCTTCTGATTCTGTTTATAAGCTCACAACACACCAGGTATATCAACGCTGCCTTTGTTTACACGCCTAGCTGTCCTTTCATGCAACACCCAATACGGCATGAGAGAGACACCAACTGGACGCCTGACTCCCAGGACCGCCCCCAGGTTTTATCACCACGTGTGAGAATCCCAACATTAGGACATTTCTGCGGTACTTTGTGCAAAAGAAGATAAACAAGAGAGAAGCAAAAATAGGACGTGATAAAATAATAGAAAGTGGCTATACGTAGAGAAACGGCTGCTGTATACAAGTCAGTGTAGGTTCTGGTCGGAGCGAATCACAGGGCCACTTGCTTCTTGTTCGTCAGGAAGTCAGTGATCCATCTACAGATGGGGTCAGGAACGTTCATCTGGGACAGTTTGTCCTGGAGAAGGTCTGGAAGGATTGTGTTGAAGGCAGAGCTGAAGTCCACCAACAGGATCCTGGTGTAGGTATCCGGGGAGTCCAGATGCTGCAGGATGAAGTGGAGCCATGTTGATGGCATCATCTACAAAGTTGTTGGTTCTGTAGGCAACTGCAGCAGGTCCAGGAGGGGGGTCGTGAGGGAGAACCAGGTGCTCAGATGACTTCAATGACCACAGATGTTTCATGGAGACAGGAACTATGGTGGTGTTGAAGCAGGCGGGAACATGACACACGTCCAGTGAGGAGCTGAAAATGCCGTAAACTCTGGAGTCACACCTAACTGGTCCTTGTTAACTCTGGGAGTTTAGTCTGAGGCTTTGCTCCTTTATTCTTATAAAACCGGTTTATCCAAAACACGAAATTGGATGTGATTTCCTACGTTTAATTTAGGACGTGTGTAATTCGCCTGTTTCTGCCTTAAGAACTATGGAGGTCTACACTTAGGGAGAGCAGCAGAAACGTGTAAAACTTTGGTATTCTGGTCATTTCCTCACTCATTAAATCATTTTTATTGGGTTTAACATTAATATGATTTAACACTAGAGGGCAGCAGCCCGCACCTTCTTGACCAGGTTTACTCTGTCCCGTCTTTCAGGCCGAGTTAATCTTCAAGAAGATGCTACCTGAAGAGGAGTTCTGTCCTCCAGCTCCAAACCCAGAGGACATCATCTATGATGGAGAGCCGCCCTCCTCCACAGGAGGGGAAGAGGAACAAGAAGGGCCAGCAGATCAGGAGGAGCAACAGGAGCCGGAACCTTTAAACTGAATTTTTGTCCTAATTTGTTTTTGTTAAATAATTTTCTGTATCAATAAAGTTTAATGGGAACAGAACAATGTCAGACTTGGTCACAACTTCAGGCTTTTATTATGAAATTTAACAGCTGTTTACAGACGGCGACCACGACGCCCGCCCTTCCTCCTGGTAGAGTCTGATGGGATCGGAGTTACATCCTCTGGAAAACAGACAGGAAACAGGAAGTCAGGTGGTGAACCAGGATATAAGCGCCCCCAGCTTTAGTAAACCAGAGTTCTACTCTTAAATATTGAATTTAATTGTTTAAGATTTTAAGCTTAGTTAAATGTAGCTGCTGTAGATGGCAGGAACACTCCAGTCTGGAATCTAAACAAGCAGATATGCTAATGCTAGCGTGTAGCACGCTCACGACCAGCGGGGTTGTGAATGACTCAACTGTTGGTGTGGGGCAGAGCTACCTGGAGTCTGGCTACAGGTCTGCTGCAAACTATGGCAAGCCGTTGTAGCATGTTTTAATACAAGCCAAGCCTCTAAGAGGTCATTGTGCTCTGCAGATCAGTTCCTGCTTACTGTCCCTCTGGAACGAGTTACCCCTCATCTCCATCACTGGCTGCTTTCAAGAGTCTCTTGAAGACTCATCATAATTTGGTGTTCGGTGACTGGTTTTATGTTTGCTCTTTACGGACTTTTGTTTTCTGATCCTAGATTTACAGTTTTTACGTGGGATGAAGGGAACTACACAACACCCAATTTAATGCATAATGAGCCTTTTATAATAGTTTTTAGCAACAGACCATGAACCATGGTCAAATATTCCAATACTGATGGCTGCCGCCCTAATAACGCCACAACAAAATTCCCATGATGCTTTAGGAAACGTACCGATGCGTCCAATCTTCATCCCAGAGCGAGCCAGAGCCCGGAGAGCCGACTGAGCTCCAGGTCCAGGAGTCTTTGTCCTGAAAGACACACACACACATAAGACCCTGACAGGCCAACTTCTTGCCCCACCACATCCAACTGTACATCTCCTTTAAGCCCCATGAGATGTCTAAGCTGCAGCTGTTGCATCCACTAAGGGCTGGCAACAGAAGAGCGCGTTCCTCACCGACACGTTAAAAAGCTTAGCTAGCTGCTAACAGCTGTAGCAACACCAGTAATGGTGGTGATGTCATTACCTTTAGAACACGTTTGTACGTATTTTTGCTCGAATTACAAACTAATGATTTACTTCATCGCGCTTCGTTTGTGTTAATAAAAATGCTCCTCTTCAGCGGACCAGCCTGTTACGTGCACACCTCAGCAAGCTAACGTCCTGACCGAGGCTGTTGAGAGCATGTTGGTCACCAGACTCCTGTCCATGGTCGGTAAGGTTTCAGAGATGATCAACCCAGGTTACCATGACGACTACCTACCAGGCTGATCCTACTTCACCACCATGATGGAAAAGAAATAAGAACAACCTAGTGTGTGTTTCTCTCTGGACACAAATAAACAAACATTGATGGAATATAACGTGTTTATGATAAATAAAAAGGTTACTGACTGAACAATCTCATTTTTAAAGCATAACTCATTTTCTGTGTTAAATCGTAACCTACTTTATGTGACGGGCTTCAGCTGACGCCTGTCGAGCACCGCTGGTCTACATTTCAGCGTTTCTTTACCACCGTGGCTTAATGACGACATTTCCATGGCACTACGAGGTGCGTGCTTGTCTCCTCTCCGTTGTCCTAACACGAGTTAGAGCTCAAACTACGAACTGACCAGAGTTCGATTAGACCCGTGGGGCGTACTCTGCTCAGGCTTGGAGTCGGATGGCACAAGCAGGGAGGAGCTGTCTGGAGGTCTACACAGGACAGCAGACCCCCAGACGAGATGCGGTTATAACAGAACTGTCTTAAAACTCCTCTCTAACATTTCCCCAGTGGATGATACGGGAACCAGTGAAACTTCCTCTATGGAGAATCTCATTCTGTGTTCAGAAATTCTTCTCATGTGGGTCGGAGCCGAAGAACGTCACATGCTTCTCCACTTTTTATTTTAACGAGTGAACAGAAAACGATCACCACAGATGCGAGCCCTTGGTTTTTCCGTGAGTAACACTGGTGAACAGTTGGGCCACGGCTCTAGTGCCACGCCCACTGGACCAGCTGTGTGATGGTGGTCTTTGTAGTTTATAAGCTGCTGATCAGGCTGAAGCAAACATCTCTCCTGTGAACTACATTTACTGTGCATCTTCATCCCTTCTGTCATTCTTTTTCAAACGGTTTATTTTTTCTACTCTGAAGCTGGAATTTCCGAGCAGAAAGCAAACGCACCATTAGCGATGTAAACAAAAGCTTAACTATCAAGCTAATGTTATCTTAGCAGAAACTCCGGCTATGAGGATGTGTGTGCCCCAATAAGCCACAGGTTTTCTGTTGTACCACACCATGTTGTTAGAAACACACAACTTTGCTGTTTATTTATAAATCTGTGATATTTGGTACATTTATGACACACAGGATGCCAGGTTTGCGCTCTGGGGGCGATGACGTATGCTGGTTGCACATGGAAGAACAGCTATTGGCGCTAGTGTTCGTTTACGAGCTCACCATATTAATAATGAAGTAAAATGCAGCATCATGCTGCTTTTGGGTGTGATTTCCAGTCAGAGGGCAACAAGGGGTGTGATGTGAGGTACACAGCTTTCCCACTGGCAAGAAGAGGAGAAAGCAGTGGGAAGATGCCTGTGGACGGACACAACTTTCCAAAGATCCCAACATTTTTCTCCTGGTGCGTTTGAGGCTCACAGTCGACCACGACTACTTAAAGAGCTCACCAGAGCGGCTGGGTATAAGAGAACGTGGAAACTAAATGCTTTAGTGACCATTTTCCCACACAAGGAGCCTAAACGCCCTCGGAGAGAGGAGAGATGCTGGACGCTCTCCTGAGCCGACTAGGGTCGTCACGGTGTGAAAATGTAACCTCACGGTTATTGTGACCAAAATTACCACGGTTTCCGGTATTATCGCGGTATTTTTTTAAACGTGCTACATTTTCACACAACTAAATAAACCCTGTATATCAGGAAAATATTGTCCTCAGTTTGTGTCTAAATTTAGCCTAAAATGTGTTATTTTGTAATTATGTTGTTTATTTGTTTACATTTTTCCCCTTTAGTCTTTAAAATACCAATTTTTGCCCATAACTTCTTATTTTTTGCCTGTTTGATGTCATCATTTAAAAAATATTAGACCAGATGATACTCAGTACTCAAGTAGCCTTCTAATCAGATACTTTTTTACCCTTACTTGAGTAATAAACCCTAAATCAGGAAAATATTGTCCTCGGTTTGTGTCCTTCCAGTGAGCTTTGCAGATGTGGGAAAAAGTCATGAGATTTGAAGCGTTGCTGCCTTTCACAGACACTTTTTCTGCACGTGCTGCAAACAGGATAGCCATCTTCTATCTACTGTCCCTCGGCATTCTTCAAATTTCCAAAAGATGCCCGTACTTCCCACTTTGTCTTCTTTGAGGGATAATAAACGTCCTGAGTGCTGCCGTCTCCTCCTTTGGCCGTTATTTCAGCTTTAGCTTCAAGAAAGTTTTGGTTGTAAACAACAAAGTGCGCATGTGCCGCCGGCAACTTCAGCAGATGATACGGTGGCTGGTAAGGGTCACCGCGCCTACACCGCAGCCACGGTAATCCACCGAGATAATATAGTTTTAAAAAAACAAGACGGTTATTATTGTCAACCTTTTTACCGGGGTTTACTGCTACACCGGTTACCGTGACAACCCTAGAGCAGACAACCCGCTCCTGCAGCTTCTGTCACGTTCAGCGAACCATCGGACACGCCACTCGTCACGGACGAAGCTGAACATTCGCCTCTCCCGACAGTAAAACAAGCAGTAAGTGTAGCAACAGGGTTCTCCACATATACATCTGCAACAACGATCAAAGTCGTTTCACTGAATATCCTCATCTACACGAGAGCTCTGGATGCTAACATTCTCCTAAACCATTGGTCATTAAATAAGTTTGATTACGATAGCTTACCGTTAACTTCTGCTGACACAAATGTGAGCACTATCCCTCTCTGTTACCATGGAGAGACGCAGTTGCCGCAGTACCGGTTTTGTCCTGCTCTCGCTTCATCCCACCCTTCATGTTGATGCTCGTTTTGTGAAACATGGTCAGTGATGTCATCATTAATGTTTTGCTCTGGTTCAAACTGAAAAGGCTGAACAGTCACTACTGGGTCCCAAAGCCGCCGGTGCAACCGAGCTACAGCCATGTGACATCACTACCCAGAGTGCAGTGCGACGCTAACTACAACGGCGACCTACGAGTTAAACAATGTTTACAAATTTTATAAAAATGAAGACATTAAGGTTTTTACACCATTTTAATACAACTGATACTAACATTTATGTTTTAAAAAACACGGTTTTGTAACCTGCTTCCTTTAGATTAAGACGCCTCACACTCAGATCTTTGCTGCCGGTTTCATCATCACCCAGTTACCCCTCCCAGTTAGTGAAGTGGACTAAAACATGCTTTTTCGCTGCCGTTTACAACTCGCCATGTTACTGACATTATGCCAGCGTGGGTACCGAAAGGCACCGTTTCACATGACGTGAATTGGCGCTCACTCGGTACCATGAGATTGGGTTGGCGCCTTAAAAAGTACAGAATTCGGTACCCACTACTAGTCACCACCCTCTCCTTATTCTGCTCTATCAAGCCTTCCTTTGCCAAGACCCACTGATGGCCTAATACTTATTTTCTCTTTACTCGTATTTTTTATCACTAATTCTTATTTTCCCCATTTGTATGAAAAGTTGTAATCATATTTTATTTTTAATTGTTGTTCTCGTGAAGCTCCTTGTGACTGTTATCTTGTGAGTTATGTAAAAGGCCGTTTCTTCTTCTTCACCACAGGTAAGCCTACCTGTTGCCCCCAGTGGCTCTCAGCTTGATGTGCAACGCTGTGATTCCCAGCTCTTTGCAGCGCTGAGCCACATCCTGAGCTGCCAACATGGCGGCGTACGGAGATGACTCGTCACGGTCAGCCTTCACCTTCATCCCTCCGGTCACGCGGCAGATAGTCTCCCTAGAAACAAGCACACCAGTCAGAAGCCACACCTCCTCTCCCCAGCAGGCAGAACCAGTTTGGGACTGACGTACTTTCCAGAGAGGTCTGTGACGTGGACGAAGGTGTCGTTGAAGGAGGCGAAGATGTGACAGACTCCAAATACGTTTTCTCCTTCAGCCACCTGAGGACCCAAGCTGATCACCTGCTCCTCCTTCTTCTCTTTCCCTTTGCGAGGAGCCATGTCTGCTGAGATTCAGGAGGGGGAGGAGTCAGACATCACCAACAGAACAATGAAAGGAAACACAGAGAGCTAGATCTGACAGGGTTTGCCGTCGGGGTTTGCACGCTCCGTCCCGCAGCGTTCCTCTGTGACAGCGGGGGTGCACACGATCCGCTGCTGTTTCTCACCAGTATCAGCTGATAGAGGCCTTTAGTTTCATTGCGCCGTTCGTGTCAGCGGACACGGTAGGGTCGGGGCATGACGCTTAAGCACTGGGGGAAACCCTGCCTGAGCTCTGATTGGTCTAACATGGTTCTGAGATCACTGCTGTTGCTCTGAACCTGAACTCTAACAAAATCCAAATAGTGGTCCCAGGTCTGACCTGTACACCCCCAAGCCTGGTTCTGATGCACACACCAACAGAAGGGATGCTCTGGTCCGCACTGGCAAAAATCACCTCTCTCACACACACACTTATATCTAACCAGTCAGGTGAGCACAGCAAGACCGTCAACTCTGGATCAACAGAAGACACCCTGTTCCCCACAGACCTGGACCCTGAAGAGCATGCTGGACCAATGAACAGATAAAACCAGTGTCCCCAGTTACAACCAGAGAGGAGCATTTTAGTGAGCCAGCTGCTGTTCGGGTCGGGTCAGACCCATAAACTACTGAGCCAAGGAATTATTGAATGTTTTGACTACCAGAACCAGAAGTTTCATCCCGTTACCATAGTAACCTGGAAACAGTTGGACCACGTGCCAGCACTCAGCGACTCACCCTTAGACCAATCAGGTAGCTTTTAAAACATTCTGACCAATGAGAGTCCTGTATCTACTGGTACCGTTTGCAGACCTGCAGGAGCCGGAAGGACCCAGAACATCAAAATAACGGAACCGACACCGTCAGTCCCCGTGGCCTGGTCCTGATCCCCATCTGAATCTGAAGGACCCACCCGAACCAGAACCGTCGCTAGTTAGCTAACCGATGCTAGCCGTCGGCTCCTCCGGTTCAGACCCGATTAAAACCTCACCTGCGCAGAAAATCCCGGGTTAAACTACGTGCAGCTCACCTGAGCCTGGACGCGGTAACGAACCTGATTTAGCTACCCGCTCCGGCAAATAACAAAGATGGCGACGCGGAGCAGCCGAGCAACACAACACCCCAAAACATCTTTTTCATGTTTAACAGAGAAGCGATTCTGGTTCCGCAAGACCCAAACACCGTTCACACGTCCGCAGACAGACCCGAGGTGGGCAGATGGTTACCTAGAAATCAGATTACAAACGGATTCATTCTCCGAGAGGGCTCACCTGAGTGCGTCTCTTTGCCGAGCAGAAACAAGAAAGGAAAGAACTTCCGCTTCCGGTGGCAAACATATCGACTTCCTGCCCGTTAAACCCACTGTTGCCACCACGTGGTTCTCTTTTCAAATATGGATACTGTACGTTTCATCCAGATATGTTTTATTTTTTAACTTTATTTCAATCTTCGTTTTCACATACAATCAGTTTAAAATGTAACCTACATTCAGCGTACTGAAGAATAAAGCAGATACAAATGACCTCACTTGAGGAAAATAAAAATTACATTTAGAACTCGCAACAATTACCACATGACACTACACCATAAAATAGATTATGATGCAAAATAATAATAAAATAAAAATAAAATATAAAAAAAATAAAATGTTCAGAGGTTGATATTTCAGCGTTATATTTCAAACATGTTTGATTCACTGGACTGTAATTTAAAGAACAAGAAACTCAGACATTGTTTCGTACAACTCAGTTATAGATTGGTTATTTCCTGATAATACTTTTAGAGATATTATAAATTGTTTTATTTCATTTTTAAAATGGCTTGATGTTTTTCCATTTAGTTTTATGTATATGGTATTTTCCCATGATGAAAATAATGTTCACCATTTTAGATATCTTTTTTGGCAGAGCATCCATGTAGATCAACACTTTAGATTTGTTAAGCCATACATCATTTCTCTCAATATTTAATAATCGATAAACATCTCCCCAAAACCCAATTGTTACTGAACACGAGAAGAAAATGTGCTCAATAGTTTCACATTCTGTCATACAAAAAACACACTGATTCACTTCAAAATTAAATCTTTTTCTTAATGTTTCGGCAGCAGGATTGATATTATGTATTATTTTGAATTGAATTTCTTTCAGCTTGGGTGCTATTGGCCATTTAAGAACGTTGCAAAATGGCTTTGTTAATGTAGTTTCATTTCCTGTGATTTTTATTTTCGTTGATTTTTCAATATCATAGAATAACCTTTTTTTTAACATACTTCCAAGTTTTGTTATTACATCTCTGTTCACCTAATTTAAATTTGCCAATTTTCAACTCAGGAAGTTTAACTACCACATTTGAATGAAGCAAGATATTTTTAATCATGAATTTTAAGGGAAGTGGAATAGCTCTACTGATTTGATTAAACTCTCTAACAGAGCATTTAAAATTAAAATTTTCAACAAAACATTCAAATTGTAACAAATTGCCATTTTTATCCATCAAATCTGTCACATATAAAATCTTTTTGTCATACCATTCTTTTTTGAATATAGTCTTCCTAATAATTACACAAGGTGAAGCTGTGTGGTGTAAAGTTGTGGCTGAATATCATTTCCAGTAGAGCAGTATTTGTTTATGGAAGTCAGATAGTTTGATTGGTAATTTATATATTTCAAAGTCACATTTTAACAGGAATTCTAATCCTCCAACCTTTTGGAAAATATATTTTGATATGTGGAACCATATAGAATGTGGTTGTATTAAAAAAGCTTTTTATCCAGTTTAGCTTAAGTACACCAATCATGGCTTCAGAATCAGCAGCATTTAGTCCACCATGTTCGTAGTCTTTTACCATCACAGACTTTTTAAGGTAGTGTGTCTTGTTCTTCCATATAAAACTAAAAATGATCCAGTTAACTTCTTTTAATCAATGGGGGGGGGGGGGGGGGGGGGGGGGGGGGGGTAAGACATAAAGAGACTGACAAGGATAGATTAATTTTGATAAGCCCTCTGCTTTTGTTAATACGATTCTGCCAATGATAGAAAGATCTCTCATGAGCCAGTGGTTGAGAGATCTTGACATATCTATTTTTTTCTTTATGTTTAGTTCTTCATTCTTATTTCTGTCTTTGGACAATATTAAACCTAGGTATTGTACTTCAGTACAATACCCCAGAACAACATAGTTGATTCCTTTAATTTGAGGGTGGTTTATAATTAGGTGTGCTAGCATTTGTGTACATAAAATGAATAATTTTGGCGAAAAAGGGCAACCTTGTCTAATACCACGTGGAAATCTTAATTTTTTGGTGTTATCCCAGGGTTGAGCGAGATGTAACTATGGATATCATTATAAAACATTTTTATAATCTTACAGAAACCTTTTCCAAATCCGAGTTTTTTAAGTACTGTGAACATAAATTGATGTTCCACTGTGTCAAAGGCTTTAAAAAAGTCTATGAACAGTTCGAGGTTATCTGGATGTGTGAACGAACGGTAATCAATCATATCTAATATCAGTCGAATGTGATTTTGGATATATCTTCCCTTAATAAAGGCCGATTGGTACTCTCCGATAAGTTTTCCAATTATATGTTTCAAACGATTTGCATACACTAAAGCCAGAAGTTTATAATCGTTGCATAATAAGGTTATAGGTCTCCAGTTATCTAGTTTCAGTGGGTCTTTGTTTTGGTAGTAGGGTTATTAATCCTGTTTTCATAGTGGGGGACAAACATCCTGTTTTAATACATTCCATAAACGCGTTACATAGCAGCTTTTTTATGTCTGCCCAATAATGTTTTAGAAATTCAGTTGTTAACCCATCTATCCCTGGTGATTTATCATTTTTCATTTGTTTTAATGCATTTTCAATTTCTATTTCAGATAAATCTTCTTCCAGTATGTGCTTATCTTCAATGTCCACATTTATTATATCTTCATCAATTATTTCAAATAGAAGGTCACAGTCTGATTTGTTGAATTTGATTTATATAAGTGGCAATAGAAGAAACAGATTTCTTCTTGGATTAAGTTCTGGTCCTCAATTATGTTATCATTTGTCCTAAGTTTACTTATTTTTTTCTTAGTTTGTCTTTGCTTTTCAAGTCCAAAGAAATACGTTGAACTCTTTTCACCCTTTTCAATCCATCTAGCTCGTGATCGAACACATGCTCCATTTGCCTTTTTTATAAACATGTCATCTAATTGGGATTGCAGGGACTTTAATTTAGTACCATTATCTGAGGATAGCTGTGTACTACTTGTTATTGAATTAATTTCATCAATTAGATCTTTTTGTTTTCTTTTTCTTAAACTTGCCAATTTTTTTCCTTTGTCTATGCTATTTGTTTGACTTTAAACTTGAACCATTCCCCTTTTCTGGCACCGTTCACATCCAGCTTTTTAACCTCCGATATAAGAGATTTAATCTGATTACAAAAATCATCATTTTGTAGTAGATCATAATTGAACTTCCATATAGGGGAAGACTTAAATTGTTGCTTAGATGTTCTGATATCAAGACTGATCATGCAATGGTCCGTTAGCGGGGAGGCTGTTATTTTACAATCTGAAATGCATATCTCATGTGATAACAGCCAGTAATCTAATCTTGAACACTGACCATTTCCTGCCAAATGATACCATGTATACCGAACTGATGTTGGGTTTTGTGCTCTCCAATCATCAATAATATGCGTTTTTGTGCATAAGGATAGTATCGTGTCACTATAAATAGGTTGGGAATTTCTATGAGGCGTTCGGTCTAACCACGAATCTGGGGCTATATTATGGTCCCCTCCCAATATCACGTTCTCTGTGTTATACGTTACTTTCCATTCATTTATTCGTTGGCTTAGTTTTGAATAGAACTTTTCATTAATTTCTTGGTTGTTATATCCATACACACACGTCAAAATATAACTTTTATCATTCAACTCCACTAACACCATTAACCAGTGGCCTTCAATGTCTCCTTTGTGATCAATTATGTTGCCTGAAACTCTATTGAATAAAATCATGACTCCTGCTGATAGGTAATTAATTTTATCCCGTATTACCTTAAAGGACGACACACCCGGAGAGAGAGAGTAAATTGATTATTTGTTAATGGTCGTGATCGCCATGCGTGAGCTGGGCCCAGACATCCAGCCCCTAGTCTGCTCCAGCCTCAGCCTACCTGCATTCTCCACGAAGATGTTTGGTAAATAAATGTTAAGTAATATTTAATCTCCATAACCCTGGAACCTGAAATAAACACTCGACAACAAGGGAAGACATTTTACCCTGAGTCTCCAAAATCAAGGAGAGTTAATGCAGGAATGGCCTTCTCCAAGGCTTCTTCCCACATCACTCCCAATGTGCTCCTAGTTCGTCAGGGGCTTTATTCACAAATGGATGGGGGAGAAGGCGGGCCTTCTCAGGTTACAGAGGTACAGTTTTCAGTTGGAAACCCACAATCAACATCCTTGCTCAACCTTTCACGAACAACAACAGTTGGCAAAAACAGAGATTCATGATGTGTTAATAACACAAAATGAGCATCTTTTAGGCCTCAAAAAGGTACAATTATAAAAATACCCAACACCTGCTGAGTGTGATGTTCCGTGTGCAAAGTAGGCATAATCCCCCCCCCCCCCCCCCCCATTGCGTTTTTCTAAATTTTTCTACAGTTGCAACAGAATGAGTCTCTTGTAAAAAGAAACATTGTGATTTTTGATCCTTACAAAATAAAAAAATTGCTTTTCTCTTTGTGCGGTTGTTCAAACCCCCGACATTTAAGGATATAAAATAAATTATGGTTGTTCTAAATGTACTTAACTGTCTTTTCTTCTTAGCAGGAATGAACATGTTGTCCTTAATAACATCATTACAAAAATGTCAAATAAACGTAAGAACCGCAGCAAACAACTGAACTGAACTAACCCTAACCCTTTTCACCAACAGGATTTGTTTAAGCCTAACTGCTTACATGAAAAATCTGAGTGTAGCCTTACATACACTTAAACATATAATATTGTGTTATTCACTTTTGCTCAGTATAAGCAAAGGAGACCTATGTTTTTGATTACTAAACTATACTTAGGGGTCAACTCTGCGTCCATCGATGAGTGCATAACCTTCTCTTAAGGAGGCTTTCTTCCCATTTCTCCTGGCTTCTTGCACCTTGGGCCAAAGCTTAGCACGAGCCTCACAATCCTCCTTTGAGAAGTCCTCCTTAAACGTGATGTTCATCTCACTGCACACTCTTGCCTCTCTGGATCTCCTCCAAACTTCACCACTAACAGTTCGCAAGGCAAACTGGATGATTATAGTTCTGGGCATCTTGTTGGTGGCGGCATCGTTTTTCTTCCCAAGCGATGGGCTGTGTC